TGTTGCACAGGTTAAGCAATACTGTGAGATGGAGAGTCATGAAGAGAAGTTGCACAAGCTGGTATTGCAGAGCAAGATTAATGAAACTAAGGATGTCATGAAGCGTAAAGCTAGTGAGATTGAGAAGAGCAAGGTATTTGTTTTGCAATGCTCTTGGCTCTTGTTCTAAGTTTGTGTCTCCTTCAATCGCTTCTGTTATATGGTCTATTGATTCCTGTTGTGTAATCTGCAGATTGATAAGAATAGAGGTGATAAAGGAGGGTTCATGTCAATGGGCTCTGGACGAATTGAAAGTAGCTTTAGTGATGTGAGCATTTCTAGTAGTGGAAGTGGCTTTGGAAGTGGTTCTGGGTTTGGATTAACCACTGAAGTTGATTCCTTCTCTACCAAGCCTAAAGGTTTGTCATATAAGTATGCCGCTACATGTGTTGGATTTTAATTTGTTTCTCATTTTTTTTACAAATTGGTTATACTTGCTTTACTGTAACTCCATAAGAAATACACTATGTTTCTCACTTTTCTGGACATGTTTCATATCAATTGTTTTTCAGAATTATTATTCATGTTTCAGAATATTTTCTGACCGCATGCTCATAATGTTAGGCCGCCAACCTTCATCTGCAACCGCTCCTCCTAAAGGTCTTGGCATGCAGCTTGGTAAAACACAAAAAACAAACCAGTTCTTGGCATCCCTGAAAGCAGAGGGTGAACTGATAGTCGAAGATGTGCAGCCAAAGGCAGGTCAGTCCAGAGTGGCCGCACCTCCTCCTACTGATCCCATCACTTTGACTGCTGAGGAAAAACTCAATGTCACACTGAAAAGAGATGGTGGAATCAGTAACTTTGATGTTCAAGGGACCTTGTCGCTTCAAATTCTTAACCAGGAAGATGGACTCATCCAAGTTCAGGTAACAGTTTGGCTTTTACTGAATGAAGACTTTGTGTGAGAAATTCACAAGGTTGCATCTTTCAAGGATGTTGACCTCAAAATTATACTTTCCTGGTGAATGAGCAAGAAGTTTTGTTCAGTTCGAATCTTGGGGATGGGTGGTTACGCATTTGGCACCAAAAATTAGTATGATTTCTTTATTGAAGAATGTGCTTTGTAGAAACCAGAAAGCAGGCCTTCCCATTCTACAGTTTTCCATATTTTTCTGGGCCAATATCTTTTGTTGGGCCATGGATGTGATTTAAACTATTCACATTAATCATGACGGAATACTACTTTCTCTTTTGTGCTTCCTTTTTTTCCCGATTATGTTGTCTTCCACCTGGCCAATATCCAATCCCTGGTTACATTAACCTTGCATGATGGTATTACTTGCCATTGAAAGACATACCACTTTCTCCTTGAATGTGCACTGTTACATAATAGGACTCATGTTATCCTCAAAGTGAATCATACCCTTTATCTAATGCCTTTACAGTACTGAATTTACCATTTTTCTTTAAAACTTTATTTTCAGATTGAAACTGGGGGTAATCCAGGCATTCTTTTCAAGACGCACCCTAACATGAACAAGGAGTTGTTTTCCAATGAAAACATTCTAGGGTTGAAGGACCCTAATAGGCCTTTCCCCACTGGTCCAGCTGGAGATGCAGCTGGTGTTGGTCTTTTGAAGTGGAGAATGCAAAGTGCAGATGAATCAATGGTGCCATTGTCCAGTGGGTTTCAAATCTAATATCCTCTGTTTATTCTTGGTATGCATAATCACTTTTGTAGGCTTTGATGGTTGATATGATTTTTGGTGTGTTGCAGTTAACTGCTGGCCCTCGGTTTCTGGAAATGAAACTTATGTCAGCATTGAATATGAAGCTTCATCAATGTTTGATCTGCGAAATGTCGTTATTTCTGTACCTCTTCCTGCTCTTCGGGAGGCTCCAAATGTCAGGCAGATTGATGGTGAATGGCGGTAAATGGAAACCATTTCAAGATGTTGCAAAATTTATTTATTTTTAGCCCCATTAGATGGATAAACTCAATTCAACTCAACTAGGCCTTAGTCCTGAACTCATTGGGTATATTTTCATCAGATGTTACTAACAAACTTTGGGCATATCGTGAAAACACTATGATGTTAAAGTTGGAAACAGCTTATATGTGCACTATTATATTTATGCTGTCATGTTTGTCTTGCAGGTATGACTCCAGAAATTCCACCTTAGAATGGTCCATACTTCTCATAGATAACTCTAACCGCAGGTCAGTGCATATTTTTAAACACTGCAAAACATGTTGCATGAGATCATTTTGATATGCTTTTTTGGGTTGATTATAAGTATTTGTTTCCTGTTGACTTATTGGCAGTGGATCGCTGGAGTTTGTTGTGCCTCCAGCAGATTCATCAGTGTTCTTCCCCATATCTGTCCGCTTTTCAGCCACTAGTATATACAGTGACCTGAAGGTTTGATACGCCATTCTTTTGTTACTGTTGTTCTTTTTGAGCATGGGATTGGATCATATTTGTGGAGGCTTGTGTGTCAGCTGTTAAAATTTGTAATTACTTCAATGGGTTGTTCCTTACCGGAGAGCAATGCTGTTGCAGGTGGTGAACGTGATTCCCCTAAGAGGTGGAGCTCCTCCCAAGTTTGCCCAGAGGACAAATTTGATTACAGAGAATTACCAAGTTGTGTGAATGATATTTCAAAATGTAATAATAGGTTTGTGAGTGAGTTGTGCACTTTGAGAGCAACGTTGAATGATTCAAACAAGGGCCCCTTTTTGCAGCTTTTACAAAAATTTTT